TGCCTTGAAAACCGCAGGGACTCGTCCAAGCAGTCACTGCAGGGTCAGCAATGACTGAGCGCAGACAAAAAAAAAAAACGTTGCCACTAGATGGCAGTATATTACTTGTTATAGTAATGCAAACTTTAGAAAAAGAGAATATAGTTTGGAACAAACTGAATTTTATAATATACATCTACTAGCTTTTTTTAAAAAATCAGTAGGCATACAGGTGTCATATCCAGTTTATTAGCAAGAGAAAAAAGAATTCAGAAAGTACCTCTAAGGATTTTTTAATGAGTATACGCCTGCTTAAAAACAAATATGCCAAACATCCATTACAAAAATACAATAATAAAAAGCACAGTAATAACAAGTGGAATGGCAGCATCCCAAAATACCGAGTAGCATGTGAACGCAGGCAGCAAGAAGGCGTTTCAGAAGAACATGTTGAAAAGAATCATGTCATACACCGTATCCACTGGTTTAAAACCAAGTGCCAAAAATGAAACAATGGATGATTTTTCTTCCATGCCACCCACTCACTCTTGGCATTCCTGTGGGAGCTAAGAGGTTACTGTGTTGGCGTTTTGGTATGAAGCCAGCAGTGCAGAAGTGCCAATAAAGAAGGGCAATTCGATCTACACTGTAAGTTAAACAAATAGTGATTTCTGTACAGCAGGTAAAGATAAGCATCTTTTTAGAGTCTGATTCCTGGGGATTCTATGCACGCAACCAGGCCGTTTGCTTGGCAACACTGCCTAAGGGGCTTGGGCCTCCTTCCAAGAGTTTTTTTCAGCTTGCAGTATAACCCTAGAATTTCCCAGGTTCTGGGAGATTTATTTCTACCACAGTGAGACATATCTATATCAAACTGTGACAACGCAAGCAAACAAAAATCCCACAATAAAGCAGTAGAATGTCATAGAATATTGGACTGTACTTTGGGGGGGGGGCACAGAAAAGGTTATTATAAAATACAATTTGCAAAGAATGTAGAAAACAAATACAGCCCTACTCAACCATTGCCAGAGTATGACTGAAGCGACTTCAAACTGTTGTTAATATTGTATAAAATTCCATGCTACCTACTATTTAGTCAATTACATTCTCTTTCCAAAACTCTGAGTTTAATGGCTTTGGATGTTCGTGGGCTGTAGGTTAATTTAAACCTGAAGTATAAAAAGGACAGGCCACTGTTTTATGGGTATATTTATAGCTTTACCATTTGTTGGGTATTAAAAATGCAGCCCATTTTCTCTAGATCCAATAATTTATTTTTCCTGATATTTTTTCTCTGCTTATTTTTATGATTTTGTGTCTTTGATTTCTGACTCCATAGCTGTCCTCCAGTTTCAGCAGCCATATATATAACTTTAACTCACGAAAGACTCCTCTGCTGCATCAACATGAAGAAGAGAATTTGTTTCAATTAAAGGGGATGTTTATGTCATTTGTAGATACAAACTATATTCTACTATCCGTGATTCTTCTTGTGCATCCAGGAACGATTACAGCTTTTTCTCCGCTGGTATATTCCAGGGATGCTAGAAGTATTATTACATTGAAATAGCACAAAAATATCCATTAGGGCTTTAAGCAACAAAAAGTAAAGGCATGCAAAACAGAGCTTCTCCAGTTTTTTAACAACCTACTTGCCTACCTGTTGAAGGCAACTAGCATCACCTTCTACAGCTAGACAAATTTTCATAGTGTGGTTTCAGAATTATACACTGCTAATAGGAAATAACTTCTTCCCAAGTCTGAAATTTGGAGTTACTGTATGCTTCTATTTAACTT